ACTGTTTTATATAAATATATTAGTTTATTACTGGCAATGATGTTATAATGTGAAGGACGCTGTGAGCATTATAGTCATTGGTTCCATAATAAAACAAATTAATATATATATTTATTKACATGGATATTGTACAATTTTACTGCTCAAACCGGTCCAGAAACATCACTCTAATAGTAAATAATAAATGGTTTTCCGGTAGACACAGTGTCACAGCCAGATTACTGGTGGGTACTTGAGTTATGGCATCAAGGACCAAAAAAAAAGGTTTTTTACTTCCTTATATATTGAGACATAGAATGAGTGAAAGAACATCTTTTTAAACATTTTTTAGCTAAAATATTCCAGTGTTTTATATGGCTCATTATTTCATTTTTCTTCGAATAACTTAAATTTYAATCAATATTCTAACTTTTAGAAAATAATTTTCATATTAATAACAAATTGTTAAAGTAAAATAATGTGAAAAAAATACCAATTTTTTTACATTAAAAAAGTGACCTTCAAATCTTCTAAAGAATCTAATATCAAGGTATGAATTAAGAAGTTTTATTTATTTTTTATTTTATTGTATTTATTATGAATTGTAATTTGTATTATACTGTRCAAGTTCATGATTTTCGATGTATTGATTCACAGATCCTATGACGTACAACGCTATTTACCAAGGCGCTCGCAGAAAGTGGGTATATTTTTAAATATAGTCAAGGACTGTATGTTATTTTTGATTTCTTGATTTTTTTTTTACTCTTTAAGGAATATCCTGTAAAAATACAAACTATTTTTTCAAATGAGAAACTATAGTGAATAATGTGTACCTAATATAAAATGGGAGTTTTWATTTGAAGAATATAAGTTTGTATTTCCATAGGACACTCCCTAAGTAATACAAGAAATATCRAGAATTTAAAAATATGGTYTTTGGGTGTATTTTTAAATTCCAAAAACCGGAATTTGAATAAATTTCTTAGATATTAAATTAAAAATGGGACGAGTCACCRTTTTTAACTAACTTAAACAACACTGTCAAATTTTGAATAGATACAATATAATTTTATGACAAGCTTGATACTTTTAAATTTTTACAATATTTTGTGTAATAATAAATAAACATATTAGCATTTAACAGTCTTCCAAAAAATTTAAGGTAATTGCTTTTTTTTTTTATTCAGAATCAATGCTATCAAAAAAAGTTTAAATATTTGAGCATTAGTGACTTACAAAGTCAATAACAATATTTTCTGGTATCTTAAAATCAACACAGTCATAATACTTTAACTACACAAATTCAAGAAAAAAACTTTAATAAATAGGACGTATAAGTTTGTACTTTATAATAAATTAACTTCAACATTTAAAAACAAATCATAGTTAGATAATAATAAATAATAAATAAAATTGTCATCAGTTATACGTTAGAACTTAAAAATTAAAATATAAATTTAAACTTAATAATAATACGATTATCACGTACGAATAACATAATTTTAGTATTAGAACTGCTCGTTACCGGTAATCATGATTTTAACAGTCATAAAACCAAAACATTAAGCACAGGAGATAACTGAAACCTTATTTTAAATTAATTTATTGTATATTCTTCACTTACGCAATTTTGTTGAAGGTGCAGCATGGCTGGTCCCGACGAAAATATACAAAAGACAACAAACAAACTTTACAATTAAATCAGTCATATTGTATGATTTTGATTTGCAAGATCACAAGATTGGCTCAGTGAAACTAAATCTAACTGCTATTTAGAAATCCGCATAAAAATTTCGCTTTAACGGAAAGACACTAGCTAGACGATTAATGAAAAACGTGATRATTCCATTCACCTTTATAACCCTAACGGGTAACATAGGTAGCCTTCAATCCCTACTGTAATTCTGTTAACTGAATATGAATGTTACAAAATTTTTAATCAAAAAACAAGTCTAACAAGATGTAAGTACCTTTGTAGCATGATAATAAAAAGTAGAAATAATAATAATAAAATATAATAAATGTTATCAATTATTTCAAACGCGCCTACTATATGAGAGATGTACACCTCACATAAAGTTCAATAGCTACTCATAATGCATGCAGTAACAACACATTTTTTTTCATTTTTTAAATTTATATTATCAGATAAAACTCCACAAGCCAAAATATTAAACGAATATTCTGGTTTTTTTGTGAATAGGCTATATGTATACCTACAGCTTGTTATAGATATTTATTTTTAAATATAATATTAAAATATAAATACAATTATAAACATATTTTAGCATTTTCTATTTTTGTTAAAAGTAGAAAAAAATAATTAATAAGTTGTTATCATTCCAAAATCGATATTTATATTTTGATTATTCGATTGATTATTCTAAAAATCAACGTTTTACCGAGAAAAAAGGGAATTCTCTTTTTAACCAGCTAACGTCATTACAGCAACATCTAGTTTTGCATTCTTTGAAGAAGCTGAAAATCTGCCATATCCTTCAATCGATGTTGTCAAAATCAATAATAACCACTATCAAAACTTACAAAAACAATTAGCTTAGAAAATTGGTAAACGGATACTTTTTAGTATCTATTGTTTGAGTTACATACCGTGAATACTTTTAACGGGGAAAATAAAATGGAAAAATCGATCGCACATACTTTATATACGGTGATATTAAATTTATAAAAATCTATCGTTGACACTTTGTACAGTACAAATAAAACAGGAAATATATTCATTGGAAGTGTTCAAAAATTACTCGTACGGGGAAAGTTACAATAAATCTTTTTGAACCGGTGAGTTACAAGTTATAAATAATATGATTTTCATTATTATAATTTTCAGCTATTGCATAGCTTTTATCGTGGGCCTGGTGTAGTGACCGAAAAAAACGGTTAGGTTAAATTAGTAGTAACGAAAAAACGTGACCCCGTCGGCGGTCCTTGACGGTCTTCGACGGTAGTATACATGTATATAACAGTATAAGGAATAAATTTACCTATTTTGTACGAGATATTTACAAATAGTATATATATGTATGTACCTTCACCAGTTTCCACCAACCCTTACAGCCTAGGCGGCTTCGCTGTTCTGGACCATAGTTCACGGTGTTTCCCCTATGGAGGTGAGATAACATCATAGATAGTTTTGACCTTGAAGGTAGTTTTTAACCTCGGAAGTAGATTTGGTATTGGAAGTAGTTTTTGACCTTGGAGGTAGTTATTAACCTTGGAGGTAGTAACTTTTTAAGCTATTGTATAGCTTTTATCACGGACCTGACGTGGTGACCAAAAACAAATGTTTCGTAATGAAAAAGAGTGACCGTAAACGCTACAGGCACACGACCAGCGGGCGTCCTTCGTTCCGTCACAGAACATGAGACCGTCCGAAAATCTTAAAACAAAATTATTAATTATTATATATTATAATATTAAAATAATAAATAATGAAAAAACATTTTAATAGATCAGAGCGACTGATAACTTCTCTCTCAGAAAAATAAAATTTACAAATGAATAATGATCCACAAGAATCTACTAAAAAATATGGGACCACCATCGGCATCTATATTCCAAATATTTTATTTTTTTATTATTAAGGAAAAAGCCTCGGTAACGTGACCATTGGCTTGTTTTTACATGATAATGATAATTTAAATTAAATTGTACAATTCAATATCTTTCAAATATAAAATTATATTTTGGATGGATTCTTCGTCAGTGCCCAGTGCGTCATGAAGGTCCAAATATTGAAGGATATTAAGTCTCAAATTTATGTTTCATATTTCAGTTACCATAAGCCTATAGTTTTTATAATACAAATTGATGAATAACCTATATATGGCTATATGTATTGTAAATAATTCTATTCTGCATGCATAAAAATGAAAGCAAATATGTAATAAAAGTATTTCAAACTCTATTCACTTTTTGTTTATTTCATAAAATTTCTTTTCAGTCATCGCGCTCAAAAAGTGTAACTTGAATCAATACCATACAAAAATAAATGCCTATTAATAATTACATGATACATAGCCACAAAATTGCTAATAGCAATTTGCTATGCAATACTTTCATCTCGGCAGTCCCCGAGTGACACTCATTATTTTTTCCTATTTTTACACCCATACACTAAAATGTCTGTTATTTTTATGCCTTTTAACTTCCTGTGTTTTGGAATAACAAATTATGTGATAAGTATAATTTATTTTCGATCTGAAATAGTACAAACTGTATAAACCATATACATTTTATTACTATCTGAAATAGTAGGTACAAACTATCCATGGTTTTAATTTTTTATAGGTAACCGTACTAAGTGTTTTACAACCTATACAATTATTTGCCATTCATAACCACTTAAATAATTTATAAATCAAATTTGAAATTATACTATTATTCACGAGGAAACCAAATGTTTATTTTATAAATGATGTCATACAACTGATTAATTTCCCAGCAAAATCCATTTGCCACAAACTTATTAGTCCCTAAAATAAATCCTAGAATTTCCACTAGAAATCGTAAATGGTAACATGACTAAAATTAAATTTAAAAAAAAATACAATCTGAAGTCTTGATAGACTAGTGAAGGCTGCTTTCGGCTAGCTATCCTATATTCTCGTATATTTTCCTGTTATTTATATGTTTTATGATGAATTATTGTAATTGTTATTAGTTATAACTTTACTTATCAGTAGAATCATTTACTTCTAATTATATATATATACATTATAAACACAATAACTAATGATTTTTCAGTAAAATAAACTACTAAAAAAATATTTAAATTTCAATAATAGTTATATTAGTTACAAGTTCATATAACAAATTAGTTTGCTTTTCATTATAAGTTAATTAATTGTATGAATTACATACATAACTATTAGGCGAATTTGCATAAAATAAAACTCTAAATATTATTTACCATATTATTTTATATAATTTTATTGTAAATAATTAGATATAAAGTAATACGTGCAGTGGTAACATTAGATATATGACTGACACATATCTAAAAACGTATACATTTTAATATTTATTTAAACAGTACAACTATATCATTCGATATCTCTTTGTATAGTCATGATAAATTATACAATAAATACATACTAGATTTATCGAAATGATATCTTATAAAACGTGCTACATTATCATTATTAGGTAATTGTAAACAGTCAAACATATTATTTACCTTCAAAAATGATAAAAAAAAACATACAAACTACATTTAAATTTAATCTAGGAGTACTTGATTTTCCGGAATACGGTTTAAAAAGTTTTGACCAATTTCTTTGAAGGCGCTGCCAAAAACTTCTTCAATCGCCGGTTGCAATTCCTTTAAAAGTTCACGCCAATTTTCGTTTAAGAATACGTTCATGTTATCTCCTGCAATAAATAAAGTAATACAATAAAATATTTGATATATACTTTTGGGACAGGCGTGACAAAAAAAAATATTTGTAGACTAAGGCTCGAATTTATTTTTATTTTATACCTCATAAAAAACCTTAAATTCAATTTTCGAATCTTAAGTTTGAATATGAAATACCTCATAAGTTTTTAACTAATAAGTAATTTATTTATCTTCACGATTTAACTTATGTAAGAATGACTTATTGCAAATATTGATTTTTGATATTTTTTAATATTGATATTAATTGATAGATATATTACTTCTTGTTTTGGTAAAACTTAGAAAACCTTAAAATAAACATACAAGTGTTTGATCTAGCAAAAATTTATTAAATAACAATAATAGAATATAAACCTAAAAAAAAAATCGAAAATGTTTCATACATGTAGCTCAAAAAGAGTTGAAACTTTTTTTTTTTAATTATCATGCAAAGAAAATGCCCATAATATACATTTGATGAATACCTATTTAAGGTATCTACGATTAGACACGTTTTTAAGTTACTAAAAACCCAAAATTAACTTAATCGAAATTAGATTTTGCATAAAATAATATCGTTTTTCCTTATTTTTTTTGTTTATCTCGATGCTTTTAAAAATTACTGTAGATTTTTTACTTTTGACCCCAAATTATCAACCTGATACCCTTTTATACCAGAAAAAATGTTGAAGTTTTAAATGTACTGCGGCAAATGGTGATAAGTGAAAGTAATACAGACGCACAAGCACATATCATTTTAAAATCAACACATTCATTGCTTCCCTCAGAATCTAATATAATAAGTACCTAACTATTGATATAGGCAAACATTTTTCTAGTTTCTATTTACATCCCAAAAAATAACTATTTTTTTAATATTAAAAACTTTATTTTTATACCTAGCCTGAATATTTTACAAAAAATTAAAAATCTACAAATATCAAATAGGTACTGAACTGTCGACAGCTTACTATTTTTAACTTCATAAGCATTTCAAACAGAAATACAGAAACAATATCCCTAATTTCTACGTACCATTTGGCTCATATCATACATAACTTGATGCAACTCATACATTACCTAAAGCTTTATCTCCGTTAAACAAATTTTCAAATTTAAGGTTCAATTTCGTAGGTGTGAATTTCCATGCTATGTTTACAATTTCTAAATGTTTGTTTCCATTCTTTACGATTGGTTTCAATTGAACAGTGCCAACAAGTTTTGAGACATCTACAAAAAAAAATAAATACATTTATAAAATTACTAAATTAAAAACAATCAATACCGTTGATTATATAATACCTAAGACAATTTTACATCTTCCCTTTCCTACAATTGGGAGAATTAATACTTTTCCAGATATTTCATAATCACTATCCAAAATTATAGATTTTTCGGGATGTAATTGAACATCCAAAACATAATTTTCTGGATTATAACTGTAATATAGAAATATAATTTTAATACACGTTTTTGTAATAAATATAGGGTACTTACTGTATTTTTTCCATAATAATGGATTTCATGTTTATGATATCCAAATTTTTAAAATCCAGTTTAATACTAACTGGACCAGTACCTTGGTCAATTATCAATGAATTGATTCGCAGTGGATCCATTTTGAGTAACCCCAAATTTGGGACACCTATATAAGTCATGATATAATTATAAATAATATAAGTTTAATGTAGAGTTATTGAATATGAACATAGTATCAATACAGGCACGTATTTGGAAATGTGTAATTTATTGTCCAGCATTGTAGATTGTATAGTATAGTTTTTATGATATAATATATATTATTATTGTGCATTAACTTTGTATAAAAAAACAAAAATAAATATATTATATATGGTGATCTATTTAAGTAGATACTCATTATTTCGAAAAGATTTAACTGTTTTGAACATTTATTTACATAATTTGATGTAAATTCGAGAATAATATTTCTGAAAATAAATATGTTTTACTATTTTTATCATTATTATTTTTTACTACTCTACTACACTTATCGAAAAATTGTAAAACTTTTAAGTTATTCTTAATAAACTACTTATCCCAAATTTGAACACTATAGTTCGAAATTCTCCAAATAATATCCTGCTTTGGAATATGAAATTGAAAATTTATGATGYATAAAGTAATAATAAAAAAAAAACAAATTTTTTTTTTCATTTTTTCAGAAATTACATCAATAAATTATTATGAAAAAAAAATTTTCAAAAAATAAGTGTGAACATTTAAATAAATCACCAGGTACCAGGTAACCTACCTGCGTCCTATATATAATTAATGTATTATTTAAAATACATACTATTGAGTTAAAAATGAAAAAAAAAACAATTTTTACTGATAAAACGTATAGTATAACGATAAAATATAGTTTCTAAAAATGAATCATTAATATACAATAAATTGTAAAATATAGATACTAGTGTTATTTTACTCCATAACACTGCCATGAGAATTGTTTTATGTTTAAAGTCTATATAAACCATCAAATTTAGAAATCGATACGAAACAGTGCTAGATTTACCATAAAAATAACCAAGATTTGTCTAGAAATGGGTAAATGACTAAACAAAGTTCAAAGAAAGTTTCTAGTAGTCATTGTGGAAACAACGTTTGAACATTTTCCAAATTTACCAAGTCTCGACATTATTTGTATAATGTTGACCACTGCTCCTAAAGTGTTAGAAATTCCGACTTTATTTATTATGTAATGCATAACATAACAGTGTACCAAAACACGTTTAAAGTTTTTTTTATTTTTACTGCGTCCTAAGGGTCTATTCTAGAGAATAAATAATACACACATCGTTATAGAATCGATATATTATTGTATTCATCACATCACTTGGCACATAAAATCTAAAAAAGTGTAGTATGTTCATTAATAGAATTATGTTTATTTTTACCTTTTGCTAAATGAGGGACAGCACTTTGAAGTCCCATCTTTAAACATTCATCAAACTTAGGATCACTTTTTTTGCATTGTATAAAACCTTTAGCTGTAACAATAAAGTTTTAACGTTTAAAATATTTGTATGAGCTAACCTAAATAAATCATAATATAACCAGTATTAAAAAGCGGGAAAGTGGATGTCGCTCTTCTGTACATTAGGTGGTGGGGTGGACCTCTGACTAGGGTAGGTTAGATTTGAATGCAATGATAGGTATCATTKTATACGAAAAACGATTCTGAACGGAGATGATTTGTCAGTCTAGGATATATTATATTTAAATATTGTCATATWTTCTATTTTGAAACAAATATTTTATTTTTTAATTAGGACGCATTTTGCATAAGCAATGGTTAATCAATTTTTTCAAAAACATTGCATGTAGTTATCATAATTCATAATACCTTATATTATCATAGATATACATATACCGGGTTTGAGGATAAATCGTTATCATTACGCGATTTCACAAAAATTTAAAACTCAAACGCTCAAAACATTTTTCCTATAATGACGCTTCAAATTGCCTGTATGGCTATTTGAAGGAAAACTAATGGAAAACTTAGTGTTGTTTTTTTAATCCTTAGTTATAAACACAAAAAAATTTATGATTTTTCAACTTCAAAATTACTTGCAAATTTTCGCGTTTTCGACAGATTTCGTAAAAATTTGAACTATAAACGCTTATAAAAAAAAATTGTGACTAACAATTTATAATTTTTTTTAGCTACAATAAGAACAACTCATAAGGAACCTTGTATTAAATTTTCAAGTTTTTTGGGTCGTCCAACATTTTTTTACCGACACTTCAAAAAAATTCTCAAAAAAATCGAAAATTTCAGTGGTCTATAAATAACTCTAAAAAAGTCAAACAATTTTGAAAATTAATCTGTATATAGATATCACTGACATAAACATTTGGTGAAAGTTTCAAGGTATAGTGATTAGTTTTTGAATTACAACCATAAATCGATTTGTTCGAAAACTGGTTTTGCGTAAACATTCCCGTTTTTCTGTCATTTTTTGTTGTTGTTTTTCTCGATTTTTTTGTAAACTGTTGGAAATTGTTTACTTTTGACCTTTATAATGCAACAAGGATATTCATTTTTACATCGGAAACCACCCCCAAAGTTTGAAATCGAAGCATTATTTCGACTAGTTATGCTGTACACAGACACAAAAAAAAAAAAACACTTCATTGTAAAATCAATACATTCATCACTTCGTGCAGAATCTAAAATAATCAACTACTCCAATAAAAATATATACTTATTCTTCATTCAGAATATATTAAAATGGTGTCTAAACTGTTTTTTATATAATGATGCATTTAAAATAATGTTTAAATTAAAACTCCAGTACATACTACATAGTTATGAAATAATTTCTAAATTCAATAGTTTTTAGGACCAGAGTTGATAAATTTCAGTGCAACATAGTCAATAATATTAAAATATAAACATTAAATTATAATTTTTAAAAGATAATCACGTTACTAGTTATTGATAAATTATTATTAATTATATTATATTCGACCAACTTAATATGTAATAAATACAGATAATATATGCAAAGAATAGCTCAAAATAATGAACAATCAATCTATATATCAATAATCAAACAAAAAGGTAAATTCAAAACTTAAATTTTCAGGAAGAATTTACTGAGCCCCCCAAAAAAATATCTACATAAATCGAAAAAAAAAATTCAAAATTCGTTTCAAAATCTCAGTACATCAAACAATTTTTCGTATTGTCTAAGCATTAAATTTAAATGCATGTTTTTCAACATTATCATAAGCACTTTATAGCATAAAACTCAAGTATTTAAAATAACGTTATGATATATAATGGCCATTTTCCCGGCTAAACGGAATAACTTATTTAATTTTCAATTTGGAATTTGTTTGAATTTTGATTGTTGAAATAATATCACGATTTTCATTTAATATTTTATGGATATTATATTTAATTTAATTTAATTTTTTATTGAACATATTTGACATCAGCAGCGAAGGCCATTAATTACAATTAGTATACAAAATTTTTATTTTTTAGATTTTACTATACAGATTAGTAAAATTATATTAAGAGTATTTTTTTTTTAAGAATTTGAGAACTCGTGCGATGGTGGTAGCGTCCAGCCCGAGAGCTGCATCTAACGTGATGATTACGTTTGAATTTCTTAGTTTATCCATTAATTGTCGGCATTTCATGATTATATAGCAGACTGTTAGTTTAGTTCTATAGAACTTGTATAAAAAAAATGCACAGTAGTTTTTATTTTTTTTTTTAATTTAGAATTAATTCCATTTAATTGAAACATTTTGCTATAATATATAAATATCATTCTAATAATAATGTTTATGAAAGAAAATAACATAAACAAAATATAATCCTCTATAGATTCATTCACATACACATAACTTTACCCTGTTCAAACAGAAAATTTCTTAAAGAAATTACTTTAATATTTAAAATTAATTAAGAAAAAATATACGTTACAATAAAACTGCAAAAATTTGGCAACATAAATGTTTACTTACATACCGGCATTATAAAGCATATAGGAAAAGTATTTTTTCTACAAAATAAATAATTTACAAGCACCTAATGTCTTGGAGATAAGATAAATATATATATATATATTAACTTAAAAAATAATAATTTGTGCTATGTTAACACGATATATGCCTTTAATGCTTTATTACCGACGAGCAAAACATATCTTATGTACCTACACAACTTAAAATATTTTAATGCATGAATGAAAATTATTGACAATAAATTAAAACTATTAATGTGTCATAATAACTATTTAAATAATTTATAATGTTTCAATATTATTACACATGTTTAATATACAATAATATGTATAGTGCATAATTAATAAATCACAATATTATGTAAATCTGTCAACAATCACAATAAATTATTATAAAAATTTGAAAATACATTAATATTGTCATAAAATAAATATGAAAATTTGCTAGGCTATTAAGTCATGCGACATCTTGTAAGATGCGTTGTTATATTTTATAAAGCAAGTACAATCCATAAAAAAAATTGTTTTATTTTATGAGGCATATAAATATAAATGTTTTACATACGTAATTTCGATGAAGGAGCTGCATTTACACACACGATAACAACGCACACAAAACCGCAAACAATGTTCAAAATATTAGCAGTCATATTGTACGATTTTTATCGGATAAATTTAATTCAACTACCGTCAACCTCGACAAACTTCAAACTCCACACAGTCTGACTATGGTCGTGTGCTTTTAAAACATTCTGAGAGTCGTCCGTGTTTAATATTTCGTCTCRATTCCAACAGATAACTCGACTCCCCACTTTTTTCAGTTTAGTTAACGTGCATTAGAAAAACCAAATTTACAAACTAGTTTAACTGGTATGCACGTGTCTCACGCAATCACGCTAAACAATTTTATTATATTGGTATAAATTAATCCATTTCTATGTATTATACACTTACACGCATTTTAATTATTTTTATAATTAGTTAATCAAACAAAACAATACACATTATAAAATATTCATGCCTAAATTTTGTTTTAAATCTTACTGTTTAAACAAGGAGTTAATAATATTAAATAACATTTTAATTATTTTTAACTATCCGAACATTAGTCAGTCATGCATACTTACAATTTACGACGTTTAAAACACTAATAAATTTCAAAGCCTTCAATGATTTAGACTTTGGTCATAAATAATAAAATGGTTTATATTTTATATATTTTATACATTTCTAAATTATATTGTACCTATTGAAAAACTACAAATGTTTCACACATTTATATAGGTAGTTCATCTTTTTTTTATCAATATTATGAGATATGACATTTGTGTAAAATATAAACGCAAATTAGCCTGAAATTTGAAATTATAACGTTGAAACCTTTATACCTTCAATCTGTTATGTAAATTTATATTTCTGTTTTATAAAAATATCTAAAATATCGTATATTGAATATAATTGCTATGAAATATTATATGTAAATACATAATTTATTATAAAATTATATCCAATATATTATGTTTTATTTTTAAAAAAAATTATCTCGATAATTGTTGATTATGAATCGATTAGACGCACTCGAAAATTCATAACAAACCAATTATTGTGCTTAAATTAAAATACAACAGTATACATTATTCACATATTATAGCATTGTGAAAATAGATATTATGATCAATAAAAAAAATCGTAAATGCGTTATTTTTCTTTGATCCGTTCTAAAAATCCAATATGTTTACAGGTACAATTAAAAAAACTTTTGTAATAATTCTATGTTCTATAATTATTAAAATACATGTATATTATTCATATAATATTAACATTTTTATTCCTATTTCCTGTATTGTAATTGATAGGTACATTAGTTTTGAAATTTTCCACGAAATACTAACAGCATGTATGTGAAAATAATAGCAGCGTTTTTAATTTATCCAGTTATGGAACACATCATACATAATTCATAAAATAAATAATTTAGAGTGACATTCATAATGATTAGATATAAATCTTTACTTAAAAATTCATTGAACGTTTAATGTTAAGAACATTTTCTGAAATATAATTTCGTCAAAAGTAATCTGAACAATTTTATGAATGTAATTTTTAATTTATAAATTGATATTTTTTCAATGAAGAGCTCACGCACTATTACGTTATTTATTATTATATCTACTGTTAAAATTTAAATTACAATAAAATATATTTATTTCAACACTACAACGAAATAGGAACCTAAATATATCAAGGAATTCCCTTCGATAGGTATCGGTTGTAACTCGTGACTGAGTAGGTTACTGTAAAGGATGTGTTAAATTTTAATTCAATAAAAATCACGAAAAAAAAAATAATAATTAAAAACAAAAAAAACAGACATTAATTTAAAATTTCTGTTCACAAAAAGTTAGAAATTATTTTTAAAATAAAATTGCTTCTATAAGTATGCTAAATACCTAATCAATTAAAAATAATCTCTATACTTGTTTATTTTTGAAATTCAACAAAAATTTAAAAATTAAAATTACAAAAATAATTTTGTAAGAAACTGTTTCTCGTTTTTCCTATTTATTTTTTTGTTTTAATTTTTTTTTTTTTTTTTTTTTTTTTTTTTTTAAGTACTGAGAATTGTTCATTTTTTCCTTCCCAAAGTACCAACTCTATCAAACGTTTAAAAATAATTTTATTTCGTAAATATTATATGTATGTAAATAATTAAACAATGTAAAGATATTCAATTGTATTTTTACAATAAGGTAAATCAAAGTATTTTTCATAAGGTACTAAAATTTATTTGCTGTATAAAATTGTAGAACAAATTTAATAATCGTTTTATATATAAAAAATATACTGGTTCCCATGTATTATTATGTGTATAAAATGCAGTATTGATTCGTTTAAATTATTTATGGATAATATGTATTAAATAGGTAGGTAGGTAGGTACATTATTAATATTCGTCCTCGGTCTTGAATGTATGTCTGTAATTTTAAACAATATTTTTAACACATTCTATGACAATAAGATAATACATATAGCTAATTTAATAACTTAAATAATATGTTCATAAGGATGTAACATAGAAACTTAAGCATAAAAAAACGTTTGTATAACTAGCGTATCTACTGTACTAATATAAATTCAATATTCATAATAATAATGTTGTTATGAAAACAAGAATCATACAATTTTTGCTAGTATTTCACACCTACCAGCTTAAACTAATTTCTCACATTCCTATTGCACATAAGGTAAATCAATGAGTCATTTAATATTAAGATAGGTGATTAAGGATATTTCATTGAGTGAATATCCCAAATGTTCTACAAAACAAACAACAGTTCCCAAGGCCGTAACTATATGTTGTTAGTATCTAGTCGGTAGTTCGGTAGGTATTATATTATTTCCGTATAATCATGGTTAAATGTTTTCTTACGAAAACTTACATCCCTAAAGATTCAACCCTTATGGTCTACATGCAAACCATGATTTATTAATTATTATAAATTATTCCAGACACCAATAAAACTGGTTATCCAGTCTTTCAGTATTCATTTTAGTTATTACTTATTTAACGTGCAATGGTTCGAAATTGTAACGAAACGTCTTTGTTTATTTATTTACCCTGTCATAAAAACATTTTGTTCTTTATTCATTTCAATTTTAAATAGATTATAAAAATTCTATACTGAATCAATTTTTAAAAACATATGTTATAGAAAAATGTAAATAATATAAATTTGAAGTTCAGCATTCCTTGTCTTTCTTTGCTCTACTAATAATCACAGGGTGTACCTATTATACATTTTAAATCAATTATAAACATTAAATTTGAAACAAATGGTTTTCAACAGAGCTCGTAAGTTGTAATTAACAATATTGTTTGTAAGACGTATAAAAAGTTTAAGTTGTTAATAAATTTATGAGTAAATAACTTATTATTAAATCATGATAGACCTTGTATTACGCGCACAAAGTCATGATAATTATTGAGCAGTTAATTATGTCCGTAGAAAACTAACACCTCTTTGTAAAAATTAAAAAACGACCATAAATAATATGTATGTTTATTATACTTATATATATTTTCATAATATTAGGCGTTGACAAATATAGGATATAATCCATAATTACTGTTGTAACTTTTTACAATACTTTTTAATCCAGAATAAGCAGAATAGTGAAAAGCAGTTTTTAAATAATAATCGGCAAGTGAGTGAGATGAACACGTATCTTTTACAGCCTTTTTTATCGATAAACTATTAATTAAGTAAAAGAGGGTAAAAGAAACATATCTGATACTTAAGATTTACCATACAATTGACAGCCCATAATTCACACACATACCTACACCTTCCACAATATTTGATGGTGTATATTACATTTTAACTACCACTCTAAATAAATTATTTTCAATGTGACATTTATTCAGTAATCTTAAAAATATTTCACATTTTGAAATTTTGAAATTCGTCGTAAACACAAGAAATATTTTATTGTATTTATTAAATAATACAATTTATTGAATTAAAAGAGAATTAAAGAAAAAATAAATTATACGTTATTATGGTCTATTAATAGTTTTCTTAAAAACACATTTGTATTAATAACAATCAATCGTAGAAATGATGATGTTATTATGTTGAATTTAATGTGATAATTTATAATATTTTATAATAATATGTGAAATGAAACGTTTCTATGTATGCTTAATTTTATMCAAAAATATGGCTTTTAAAAATAAATAATAAAATAACTTAGAATAAATAGTTATATGCTAAAATATCATAGTCAATATTTGAGTTTTTGAGGCACCTAGTTAGATAGGTGTGAATAATTATATTTTTAAATTGCAGAATTTGATGATATTTACTATCAAGTATTTATGTGTAAGATTCTTATCACTTCCTTGTTTTTTTTTTAATTGGTTATGTTTTTAAGTTGTTTGACTCTAAAATATATCAAATAAATGGAGATAATAAATGTTAATAGATATTGAATTGTACAATTGAATTTAAATTATCATTATCACGTAAAAACAAGCCAATAGTCACGTTACCGAGGCTATTTCCTTAATAAATAAAAATTAATAAATAAATGTTAATATGACATAATTTTAACGTTATATAACAATGGACATTGTTGTCTTCTTGTGATAGTTATCAACTATCTTATAATCATCTATAAAAAAAAATATTAAAAAGTTGATTAACCTTACATGTTTAGTATTCAAATTATTATTATCACTGCTATAATTTCATGGCTCTTACTCTTACTTACTGAACAAAAACAAAACCTGCATTTGTATTTATTTCCAAAATATACCTTATATTTTATAAGCTTGACGATTGTTAAGACACATCAACTAAAAACCAGTTTTTTATATTATACTGTACGTTATATATTTATATTCTCTATAGATATAGTTTTTTAACAAATTATGAATTGACCTTCCGAGTGCTGACTTCTAAATAGTGCATACATTAATTTTAAAATAGCTACGTTTTAAAAATATTTTAATCATTTCCATTATCTACATTACCTTTTAACCATACTATATTTCCTAAAGATTTAATTACTATGGTTTACTGCTATGAAAAATCAATATACTTAAGAAAACCAATATTTTATCTCCATGAAAAATATAAAAATTTGAAAACAATACTCCAGTTGTATCACTATAATACATTACAGTATTATAAAATTACCTAACCATATTAATAAGGTCATTCTGTCACGTATCATATAAATTTATTAATGTATATAATCACATATAAGAGAGCCATAGTTAAGATTCTTCCTACAAGTACTACTACCGCAATATTTCGATCATTAAACTCAAATACCATTTGTCCCCACTCATCTCTTCTATTTATTTTTTATATTAATGAAGAAAACGTCTTAAGATAATCAAAAATATTACTCCTAGATTTTTTGCCAGTTTTTATACTGATATCAATAAATTATAACTTTGATAAACAGTGGCATAACAAATATGATATGACACTGAACAAAAATATTATATTTCCAGTTTTGTCCTTAACTCAATTAAAAATTCCGTACTGCATGCATGGTCTTCTTAATAAGATAAACAAAATAATAGACTTGAATGTTATATGTATGATAAAAAATAACTAACTTTTAAGCAGAAGTTTTTGATTTTTAAAATGTTGACGGGTTTCGGAACCAGTATTCAATGGTAATAAAACAATTATTTTTGTCTAGGTATTTATGTGAAATAAGTATTTGTAACCCAAAGATTCAGGAGTGTATACTATATTTATACTTAATCCTATCCGGTTAAGGAGTAAGTAGTCGAGTGACTAATTCCTACTTTATTAACCTGCAGGTAGATGGATTAATGTAAATTAAGTTTTCTTAGTTCTATTTTATAAGTCTTAGAAACTTATAACCTGCACTTAACTTAACACAACATGGCAACGTATACAGAGGTTTATTTAAGGTCTGAAATATTGTACCTATACTATCTCTATTCACTTATCTACCTTACTATCTTTAATTCTCTATCCTATTCTTGTGAATACTATTATGATCTCAGGAGTAGTAGAGTATAAGTTGAACAGTTCAATTTATTTTATATGATGATACAGTTTGTAATTATTCATTACAGTAAATTGAAATCAACAAAAAATTATATTTTATAGTTAAGGAATAGTTGTATAGTGTATACTGTAAAATCGTAATTCAAAGTGCAAATAATAATAAAAAAAATACATTGAAATTCAATATATTAAATTTTTTAAATACTATAGGTATGTAATACATGTACATAATACCCTTTGAATATAAATGTGCATATTATACGAAATAATATCACACCGGTACACACACATATATATAGCATTCATTTTTAACAGGAGAATCCCTATGCAATAAATTATCAAGTGAAATGTTAGCATGATTGTAACAATCAGAATATGAAAATGTAAATGTATAAAATGAAAAATAAAATATGCAAAAAATAAAAATAAATCATTTTATTCAGTAAAAAATGAATTTAATTTTTATCTAGGTTAACTTTAAATTTAACTAATAGAAAAAGCATGTAATTGCATAACTATCCGAACCCTATTCATAACCTGGACCAATCCAAAATAACTTATTAAGGTGTCTGCTTATTTATTATTTAATGTGGGTTATTATGGCAAAAATTGATTAACTAAAAAAAGGAACAACTAAAAATTAATCTTTTTATTCAACCTTATTTTCTTTAACATTGATTATACTTTTTATCTTAAGTGTTGACAGTTCCAAGTGCTTATGGTAGTACATGAGCTAAACATTTATTTCACAWAAAAAAAACATTAATTCAAATATTCTGGCATCTCCTTCAACAATTTTTCCGCTATTAGCAGAAAATATGATCAACACTGATTTTTTTAACTGTTTTAATAATAATAAATTTAAACCATATAAAAATGTATATATATTTTTTTAATTTAGTATAAAATTGTATACGTAAATGATATACCATGAGATACATATGTTCAATGTTTATACGTATGTAAATTAAGTTTTTTTCTTTAAAAAAAAAATGTATAACTCATTTACTGTAAAGGTACATAATATATTATTATAAAATCAAAAATTCTTCACACAGTTCATACCTAATAAGTAACAAAAATTATGTGTAGTAAATAGAATAATTAATATTAAATCAATGGTTGTGATAATTTTCCAAAATTTATATTTTGTATTATTCTGTTTAAAACGATGTATTATATATTATTATTATTTAACTATGCATTTACGTTAACACGATATAGTTTAAAATAAACAAAACTGTTGATGAATACTTTGAATATTATGACGAAAACATGTATTTGTTTATAATGTGATTATTATTATTTAATATACGTTAAGGATAATGGATAAAAATTTAATATTTAATGATTAAAAATTTGGTTTAGTGGGACTTGATTCAAAAACTGTTGGATAATTCCAATAAAAGCAGAACTTAATGCTTGTTCAAATGCCGATTGCATTTCATCAAATAATTCTCGCCAGTTTTCGTTAAGAAAAATATTCATGTGATCTCCTAAAAATAAAATAATATCAGTGTACATTTTAATAAAACATATATCTATTATTGATTTGTTCATATGATTAATATAGTTGTGATATACATTAAAATATAATTAACTACCAATTAAGAAGTAGGTAGTTCTAAAGTACAGTACTATAGTCAGTTAAATCGTTATTATAAAAATAATGGAAATTTACCAACAATCAACACACTAACTATAAATTAAAAAAACTAATACTATGCATTCAAAGAAAGAATCAAAAGGAAAAAATTATAATAAATTTAATGATAATTTAAATTTATATAATAACGTACATTATAATATAAGCAATGGACAATAGAATCATGAACTGAGATCGCATATAAAGGATTTAAGGTAATTGAAATAACTTAACGTCACAGGTCGACTTTAACTCACCAAGAACTTTGTTTCCATTAAACAAGTTATCGAAATTAATATTTATTCTTGAAGTAGTAAATTTCCAAGATAAATCTTGTATTACTAAGAATATTGTTCCATTTTTTAAAGCGTGTGTCATTTTCAATTTACCAGCAAGCTTGAAGTTTTCTAGAAAATACACCAAAATTGTGTATATGCTTATCAATTTAAATTTAAAATTAAGGTTGAAAAATATTTTGTAACTTACCTAAGCTAATTTTGCATCGTCCGTTTCCTATGATGGGTAAAACTAATATTTGTCCATTCATTTCGTATAGCCCTTGTAGAATAATTGGTTTTTGAGCTTCAGATTCAATTAACATGCTGTAGTTTACCGGATCGTAACTGTAACAATCTAACATCAGTAATTGTACAAAAATATTATTATTAGGTAGCTTAAAAATACATGGCTTTTTTTATTATCAAAGATCTCATATTTATTATATCCAGATCCTTAAAATTGAGGCTGAGTTTGATTGATGGAGTCCCTTGGTCTATTCCTAATTTTGAAACTCTCAATGGATCCATTTTAAGCAAACCAAGACTAGGAACACCTAAATAACAACATCATATATCTTAAATTATGACTTGTTAGAATAATCATAATGTATATTGTTACCCATTGCTAATTGAGGAATTGCACTTTGTAATCCGGCTCTAACACATTCGTTGAAAGCTAAATCACTTATTTGACACTTCACAAATTCTTTTGCTAAAACATAATATATTATAAAAAATTGAATACATTTAATTCTAAATAATGGTTCACAATTATAGCAGCATTTTTTAATATTTTGAATTATAACATTGAACTAATTGAACAACGACATATTTATATACAGGGTGTCCCGTGAGGATTTACCCATTGCGATATCTCCCGAAATAATGGAGATATCGAAATTCTGGTTTTATTATAAGATTCACAGGGATAAAAACTACAATTATTTCATTTTATAATTTATTTTAATGTATTTGTAAAAATTTAAAAAATATATTTTTTTATTTAACTATTTCCAAAAAAAATTGAAAATTGACGTTTCAAAATTTTAGTTTCATTAATTTCCTGATTTTTAATATTTTTTTTTAGTTTTGAGAAAAATTGCAAATTATTTAACACCGTAATGTCATCAAACATGTGACCCACCCCGCGCCTGAATACTTTCCGTGTTCCTAATAGTTATAAATTTATAATCATATTTTATTTCTTCAAAACTAGAAAAAATATTAAAAATCAAGAAAGTAATGAAAATAAAATTTTGAAACGTCAATAATTTTAGAAAAATAAACTCTACAAAATGGCTATCTTTAATTTTTTTGGAAATAATTAAATCAAAATATATATTTATTTTTATTTTTTACAAATACATTAAACTAAATTTAAAAATGAAATAACGGTAGTTTTTATCCCTGTGAATCTTATTATAAAACCAGAATTTTGATATCTCCATTATTTCGTGAGATATCGCAATGGGTAAATCCTTGCGGGACACCCTTTATATATATATTTTAATTTATTGATCATAAGTTTAAATTGGAAGTAGTGTCACTGGACGTTCATTTCCCCCTCAAGTTTTCACGTCTTATAGCTATCATCACATTTACTTATTATATTATCTTGTATATATATTGTAAATTTCTTTTATAAAAAATAAAAAAATAAATACTGATCTAGATTGAAAAATAACATATCTATATAACCCAAATATTTTTTGAAAATGTTTTCTCTTGAATAATGACCAACTAACCGAAATCAATTTTATTGAAACGAATTTTCTTTAAGTACAGTTTATCCTTATGTAGTTACATCTCAAGAATATAATAATAAAATCAAAAATAAATTATTTAAAGTAATTATTTAAATGATAAATCATCGAAATCGGAAAATTATTTTAAACATAGTTTAGTATACTTAGTGTTTATAAGAAGTTTTAAAAATTTTAAGTGCCCATTATTTTCTGAATCACAACAAAATAGCTCATTTTGAATTTGTTAAAACAGTTTATTCGACAATTTGAAAGTCTTAAAAATTTATTGTTGTATTATTATCTCAGCATTTTTATAAGTCAACAATTTTAAAAATTGCTAACTCCTAATACCGATGTATAATAGTGTGTACGGGTCTTCTTGTCCTTGGCGTGTCCGAATTGGTCCTCAGATTGTTACAAAGGAAATATCTGAATTGAATAATAACTTATTCCTCAATTCCTCTTTTTTATTTTTTATTACAAAGTATAAAATAAATAATAATAATAATATTTTTTTTTTTTTTTTTTTTTTGAATTAAGCCTCGGCAACTATGGCCATTGGTGACAATTTGTTTAACTCTAAATTATTTACAATAAGTTACATAATTATTATCTTTTTTTTTTTTTCATCCAATTCTCTGTTTTTTATAAGTTGCATATATTATTAAAGTAAAAATGTATAATAGACATTTTTTATAAATTTTATAGTCTATTCATTTCATTATTTTTATATTTATTAATTTCAGTTTTTATAAATATTTCCTTATTTTTAGACTTAAGGTTTTGTAGTTTGTCTATTCTTCGCAGTTTCATATGTATTTATAATTATGGTATATATGTTATAATAATATTAAATCGTAGTTTTTCGCCTTTTTGAAAGTCTTTATCAAGAACCAATTAGGATGTGTGTTGCCTGTATTGTCGGGAACCAATTTGGATATCAACTTTCAAGTATGGAAAACATTCGGATGCAGCCCTTGTCCTGCTTAGATTATGTTAGGTTAGGTAAACAAAATCGTAAAAACAATAGGACCCCTAGTGTTACGAAGTCGTAGATGCTCAGACTACCGACAACATACACCACGCAAACTTTCTGATCTACTTGAAGAAAAAAAAACAAAACAAAACTTTCACAAAAATAAATCCTTTCGTCCGTATCGAATATCATACGACCCTCCTTTTAAGTTTTCTTATTATTACTTTCGGAATGCCTTGGCTACATTTTTATTGCATTTTCTAAAGTCCTAACTATTATCAAATAACTCATATAAATTTCATACGAAAATAAAATATATATCTTATTTATACTTTAGAAATGTTATTGAGTGAAATGTATTCAATTTTTTTTTTACTCAATCTATTATTTAAGAATGAGTTTTTTAATGACTAATTAATATTCTATATCCATATTTTTATGTTTTTGATAATTCTATAATAAAATCACTTACACTTCCACAATCACAGTAGTGTAACCGAGCATAAACAAAAATACACGGCGCAAATTTAATTATCTTGTTTTTATTTTTCGACGTCAAACAACCTGATACAGCTGGTTCGTTCATGGTTATAGAATATAATGATTATATAATTAGGTGTGTAATTAACGGCTATTAAATTGTGTTAAATTTTCTGTGAACTAACATACTAGGTGCCTATCTAGTATCTTTAATACTTAACTATAAGTTTTTGTTCGTGCATGTATACAAATAACATCTTTAATTTCCTTTTATACATAATATTATGGGGATTCATTTGGAGTAAAATCATGAGGTAGCAATAATCATCTTGAGTAATATTTTTGACCCAATTGTATGTGGTCTAATAACATAAGCCTAAGAACAGCCAGTAGATAAAACAATAAAATTAATAGGATAACAATAAATTACTACCACTCGCTACCCCGTAATGAAGCCTATGAACTCGTTATTATTATTATTATTATTATAGTTACCTACTTTCAGTTGAATAAAAATGTAAATATTACATACTAATTTATAACGATTTTTCACATTATTTACCAAATATCATACTTGTACAAAATTGTTTTCTTTTTACTCATACCTATATAGTAAATGTTTATTTTTTTGTTCAACAATTAATCCTAATTAACAATTATCAACATTTTACTATATTAAAATAATCATATACTCACGTAATTTGGAGTAAGAAACTGTGATCACACTTCCAACTACTATATAAAAAAAAAGTACATTATTTTAAAAATAGTAGTAGGCATAATTAAAAAAATTTTCAACTAAACAAAGATTTCACAATTAATTTTTAATTCATTGATATGCGTTCGTGTGATTCAACAACTGTTTTAAAGATATTAATCATTTAGATACCCAATAAATTCATTATATTTAATAGTTTCTTAATTGAATCTAATCCCTACTATGAAAATAATATCTTAATGCATTTTTAAATGTCATCACCTAAATTCGCCAACTCAAATTTCTAAATATATATTTACTGAAAAAATATAAATATTATTATTTATAAAAAACTTCATACATTTTGTGATTTTATAAATGATTGAACGCAAATATTCTGTTATTTAACCTAATTATGGTTTCAGAAAGCGATATAAATGATAAATTTATCCATGTATCGTATGTTTACATGACAAAACAAATCGTGAACAATAATACTTCATTAAATATAAAAATCAAACTTGTATTGTATTATGTTATATTTCCACGTTAATACGTTTTATACGTGCTATGTACACAACCTACAACAGTGTACAAAAACAAAAAATATTATTATTTTTTACGTCTTTTCATTTCAATAATGATAATTTTATTATTGAAACTTTCAAAATATTTTAAAGTATATTGCTATAAAAAAAACATTTTTGACAATAGTCATAGTAGACTGCAATAGTTTTCATAATGATATGTGGTCCATTGCTTTCTAACTTAATATATTTCAATTAAATTATAAAAGTGCTGTAGGTTGGTGTTAAGTTAGAAAGCAACGGACCACATCTCATTATAAAAACTATTCTGATCAAACCTCAGTTTCTGACTTTTTTTAAAACCAAGTCCCTCATATTTCTTAAATATCTTTTTTACATATTATGTCGTGCTCTGTAGTATTTACTTACGCTTGGAGACGATTTAAAAACATATTTCTTAGTATAGTTCAGATTGTTAAAAGTATTAATACAACTTTTTGAGATTATCTATATTTATTCTACCGCAAAAAAATATACATTACTATAAAAAAAACCAAGCCCTTTATTTTTTGTATATAATCTTAAACAGAATATGTGTAATTATTTTGGTTTGAACGATATAATATATTATACAGAATTAAAAAAGACAAGGCCGTACCTTGAATTTATTCACAGATTTCATCAACAAAATTTCCCCATTTCGACCTATAGGTGTAAGCGTCGACGATAATACATGCCTACTGCCCTAAAATCTGAACCCAAAAAATTTGACTCGTTGACGGTTCGGATTAAGTACTTAGCTAGTTTTACTAGCAAGATATTAGTGCTTTTAAGTTGGTTATTTCAATATTTCAATTTTAAAGTGAGATATGAACATTTTTAATTCACGTTATACGTACTATACACACAGAATTTGCTAAAAAAAATTAAGCTACCATAAAAACGCACATACAATATACAAATACAGATAATGGTAATACCATTAAGTTTCATAATACGTCGATTCTCACTACCTACCTAATTAATGACTCATAACTATCGACGATCTGTCGATCGTAAATTTACCACCTATGTTACGCACTTATAAGACAGAGACAATATAAATGCATGTGTAGAACTTTCTTGACATTTTAAGACTAAAAAAAAATAATACGAATAATATATTTTGAATCTATAACCTGTAGGTATCCATTGAGTATACAACGCATTTATGATTTTATGATATTTTTTTGTAATTATTGGAAACCTTAAAAAAACAACTTTTCGTGAGTCAAAACAATATTCATTAGTTTCAGGGGCATGAATCACACAATACCAACCCATAAGGGTTAAAAAAATACAATCTTCAAATCTCAATAAAAATGTATATAACACATTCAACTTTATAACATTAGATATATATTAATTATTAGAGTTTAAATTTTAACCTTTCTTCTATAAATTAAGTAGCCAAACATCTCCATCGCAAAGATTCCAAAAACGTCTCGATAAATATGTACATCCACAATCTATTTCAAATAACCAAAACAATATTTAGTAAAAAAAATCACTCTAATTATTTGAAATATATATACAAAAATAATAGATTCAGTGTTAAGCTATTCTAAAATAGTAAAATGTTATCTATGTCGTACAAATATATTCCTATTTGCTAAGCTAATTAGGTACTATTTTATTATATACAAATTAAATATATTTTTCATTTTATGTTAAAACTAGCAATTATACTTTTGTCATCAAATCAGACTTGTTTGAGTCCGATTTAGTACGGCTATCGGTTTATTTTAGTGAAACTCTAGTACGTGTGATTCGGTTTTATTGCAGCTGTATTTGGTTCACTGTTGGTTTTACAACCTATAGGAAGGCCCCAGACCCTTTGGTCAGTACGGATGTGTAAACACGTAAATACGTAATAACTCTACGCAAAATGTCACCAATAGTCATCATAGTCTAATAGTCTATCTCCTACTTTATTATCCCAACTTACGTTCAATGTTCTTTCTCGTCCTACTCGTCACTCTGACCCTTCCTAACTATTAAAATTAACTTTATTAATCAATGAATAAGAATACCATATGATAATCTGTAAAAAAAAAATTAGTTATTTTATAACGGTGCAAATTACAATTTTTGAAGGTATAAAATGGCACAGATTACATAATACATATTTTGTTTTATGTGACAACCTTAAAAAGTGTCAAAAATCACCAAAATTAATTTTTAAATATGGCGCAAAATAAATTTTTTTTTCGAGGGGGTTGTTTTTGGTGCAAGTTAATATTCCCAATATTTTCGCTCTCCATCAAGCTTTGACGAAAACTTCGTCTGGGTTTTCCTCAGATTAGGTGTAATTTATTTTATGAGCAAATAGTTAAGCATCTATTATTTATTTTACAGTAGCAATTAATATACGATTACTGTTGTTGTATATTATTTAAAATCAGAACTCTACTCAAATCAATTGTGGTTAAACAAAATGTGTTTCCTGTAAACTTCACACATGAAATCATAGTACCCATGCTCATCATACCAATATGGTTTTAAAAAACACTTGTTTGATTGCAATAATATATTACAGTAATTTATTTAAGTATAATATATAAATATTTTCTAAACCGGTTTTATAATTATGTCCCAGTCAACATTATTATTTTAGTATCTTATACAGAAAACATACTATAAATAAATTATCGAATTAGGTATGAAAAACTCATTTTATTCAATCCAACATTATCACTGTTGAGTTTTCCAGTATTTTAAAGAAATATGGATTATATACTTTTACAAACAATAATCATTCTCTATTTAAGTTAGATTATTTGCTGTACATTTACATTTGATATCCATGATTTGTAGTAATAGTAGCAAACTAACAAAGTAACAACTATAGTCTGGCTATCAAATTGAATGTTATCATATGTATATTCTTTGGATTTCTCTATTGGGTGATTTTAGACAATATTACACCCCTATCACGGTTTAGAAAATATTTAACTTAAAATATGTGTAGTTTAAAATATAAAGCACCGATCTGGTAATAGAAGTTTAGTCCGTTACAACACTTTGATTGTTTATATGATAACTTTAACAACTTAGTTAAATAAATGTGAAAAGTCAAAACTCAAAAATCAAAATTGAATGTTTGAATTTTATATTAGAGTGGTTATTAATTATAAAGTTTTTATTCGATCGTATAGTATAATAATAATATGCTAAATRCATTAATTATTTCAAAAGTCACGCAAATAAAAAATTACAATTTATTAACCAACTTTTCGGATTTTAAATTACCCGTCGACAGCCTGATAAACAATATTTATTAACATACTGGTTTTACAGAGTACGACACACGATATAAGATTGAACAATGGTAGATAAGTTCATACTACTTTGAATAAAGACAATTTATTAATACATACCTACCTACTTATAGCCATATATGTAAAAGATTTTAAACAGTTTGAAAAATAAGTATTATTCATAATACAAAACAAACGATGAATCAGATTTTTAATAAAGAAAAAAATTGTATTACATGACTCTTGTAATTGTATAGCTACAATAATATAATAATATTATTAGTTTCTTTGTTTATAATTCCTACTCCAAAGATTGTTATCAAAGCAGAATAATTTTTAATAATTCTTTGTATTTACATGTATACAGTATACACATTACACATAATTGCCTGTTTATTGTAATAAACATGTATATAGGTAATTATCCATATTAATGAAATTTGTCTTCGCCTTGAGAAATGCACTTAATGCGAAATGCATTTAAAAACCATTTTAATCAAATATATAAAATTAAAACATTAAAACAAGCTGTATTACAAAACAGTTCATCAAACCTATGGGTATTTTTTGTGCCACTCCTGTA